TTTTGCTTGGTGTACTACTGGTCCTACTCGTTCTTTCTGTCTCAGCCTTCTTCCAACTGAAGCCGCTCAGGAAGCGAGATCCGCTCGGGGACCCGAATCAAAAGAGTTGAGAGGTCTCGGAGGACAGTTCGGAGTTCATGCTGAGTCATAAACCATCATAAACCTATAGGGATCCAGTCGTACCGAACCTCAGGTTCGGTACGAAAACGGACCCTCAAAACCTAAGAGGGTCTCCAATCACCATACCTGAGAAGGTACGACTGGATCCCTAGGGAAAGTACTCCAATCCAATGACTTTAATATACCAGCTGCTTCCGTTCGGGGTGACCTGGCTGGACAAGCCCACACTGCTTATAGGTCACCAGACAGGACACCCAGACAGGTGTGCTTTAATGTTCACACACCATGAACTACATCAGATGTTGTTTGAGTTTGTTTGACAGGGCTGAGACAGATTGGAGTGAATATGTTTTTTGCTGGCATACTGAACTACTCCATACACATGGTATAGTACACCATGGATGCATCATTGATGAGGTAAAACAGCCACAGTCGTTTATTTTTTTTGCCAGGAAGCGCAACGTCGTGACTGTCCATGTGTGTGTTCCGATCTTTGATACCATTGACTGTAGAGACTCAGTAGAGACCTGTCTGTCTGAAGACTCGGAATCATGGAAAATACGTCCTATAGTGAGCAGGGAACGAACTCCGAAGCTGCCGTCCTGGTCTGTGAACGGATGGAGTCGACATGTGTGAAAAATATCAGCTGACAGAAGTAACCGTGGCAGTGGAGTAAGGAGTAGCACCCTGTTTGAATCCGAGCTCGGGGCTGTAGGGGTCGGACCTTCTCCCTCTGAAGCGTTCGGGGTTGTGGGGCCGAACCATGGCCCAATCTGTTGCTTCGGGCCCGGAGTCTGCGATGAAGAACAATGCCGCTTCTATTCCTGGGCTGATTGGGTGGGGGAGTTGGGAGGTGTTGTTTCATTCCCCTACCAGTCCAAAGACCCAGTAGAAACCTGGTCTTTTACCTCGTTAAGTATTGGTTTTGTATGACCATCCCCAGTAAAATGAGGTCTTTGACTTGTTTCGCGGTCTACTCCGTGCACCTCTGATGCGACAGGCACCCGTCAAAGCTCCTCGAGCTTGCAGGACGCTTTTTTTTTGCACGCACGATGTTCGGCGATTCGGGTTCACGCGGAAGACGCACGAAAAGGAAGGGGGGCAGGAAGGGGACCTTATACGCAATGCAGCTTTTATATGCTTTTATACAATCCGGGTGATCATCTATATGAACCTTTGTTTGCCGACCATGTGGAAGCTGGCGGCATGGACCCATGTACAGGGGATCATCATGGGTGTGTGAGGCAGAAGAGGTTTTTCAATCCATGTCTAGGGGGGTTGTTTGTCAAGAGTCCAAAAACTGGAACTTTTCACGGACTTCTTTCGAGCGTTTGTCCACTGCAGTGGATTGAAACTCACCCGCTGCGGTTTCTGCATAAAACATGGTCGGAGTCCGCCAAAAACCAGGGTTCCAAGACCATCCATGATTATGGAGTAATTATATAAATATATAATAGTTACATACCAGGGTGGAGTATAACTATCCTTTAAAGTATATAACTCCGTAGGTATTATATATATATAGTTGATGTATATACCCTGGAAGTCAAAGACCATTTTTAAAATGGTTGATTTGGTTTTGTAGTGTAGAACCCTTAGTGAAACGATGGTTGTTCGGGATTCAGGCCATTAAAACCATGGTGGTTCGACTTCTAGGGTATATATTCGATATATTATATGTTACTCCCAATATCCTTTGTGGAATCCCAGCCAGTGACCTCTCACAGACCCTTTGGTCACCAAGGGCCACCATGTGACGGCAAGTGACGTCGCTGAGGGACACGAACCCTGCTGCACCACCCAGGGGAGGTGGGACAAGAACGCCTGGTTTTCAGACCTTGGACCTATGACCTTTCGCGAGTTAGCCAGGGGACATGAAGAAGAGGTTGTTAACAAACATGTCTTGGACTTTCTCAAAACGGGTGAAAAAAGATAGACACTAGACGACGGTTCATGCCTTGCATGATCTGGAACGGTTCATGCCTTGATAGAAAAAATAACGCTTCTTGCCTTTGGGCAAATGATTCATGGATCTGGAACGGTTGATAAACACAACAACGGTTCTCTCTGTGGCATGTCCTTCGCCCTTCAGAATGTCTCTCTTTCACCGTGGCCGTGCGCCACCTCTCCGCAGGATCGCCCGGCCCCGCGGACCTCAGGCGCGACCAAACGGACGCGCGGAAGGTCCGGCAAAGACCGGGGATTTGCACGGTTTGTGGGAGCGCGCGGTGTGAAGACGAAGATGAAGACTTGAACCCTAGGATTCCTGGCCTGGCTGAATCCCGAAGAACTAGCTGTTTTACTCAGGATTTTACCCTACAACACCAGTTTGTCCCATTTCTTCTTGGAAGTCTAGGGTGAAGAGAGCTCAGGGTGTGGGAGCTACTCATTTGGGGCTCTTGATGAGTCAACCCCATCACTGCGCTTGGACATGTTTTTACCACCACTTAAGCGCCTCCCAGTGCTCTTCAGCTTGAGGATTCATACCAGGTGTTGGGACCCTGTGTGGCGTCCAGTGTGTGGGTGGATAGAGGATTCGGGTCCGTTCCCGTTCCCGGTCGCGAACTCATATCCGGTCGCGAGACACCCGGGCAGCACTGTAAGAACGGCTGGAATGTTCGGTCTGTGGCGAAATGGTTTTGGGACACTTTGGAAATGGTTTGCTTGGATGCGCTGGTTTGTTGAACCATGTTGAAGTCCAAACTCTTAAACATACTCCCCGGCAGAAAAAGCAAAAAACATAATTATCACCAAAATGGACCCCCACTTGCTTGGTCTTCGGAAACGATCTTTTTCAAACCAAGGTGTGAAGTTCCTTCTCAGGGTCCATGTGGTCCCTTTGCCAGGTCTCTCTTCCCAATCCCCCTCCTCCGGGGCTCTTCCGATCTCGTCGCCGCCGCAGGCGCTCGGCGCGGCGGGGCGGCGCCGCAGGCGCTCAAGTGGCCCACAGGCGGCGCGCGGTCGGAGTGCCTGGAGCTACCCTGAGCATGAGATCCTTTGGAAGCTGTCCTGAAAGAAACGGTTTGCAAGACCCAGACACGACACGTCTGGGACTGCCATAGATACCGGTCAGTTGACCCCTCATGGCCCACCCCAACTGATCGGCATATATGGCAGTCC